TGTTTGTTTGTTTTGTACCCCTAGCTTCCTGATGATGGAATTATGACTATTCCGAAATGTATAATAAATGTTTCCTGTTATTACATTCATGTTTTGTTTTAACATTAAGCTATGTTTTCCAAAAAATGAGTTGATTACAGGTATATTTGTATTATCAACTGGCTACACAGTAACATCATTTTATCTTCTTGTACATTAAGTCCAAATAGTTCATGAGTTTTCACTTGTAGTTGTCAAAGAATGTATCAAGAGAAAATATAGTAGTGTCTATCCTATTTATGTGTGTGTTCTGGAACATTATTCAATTACTTTATGAAAAAGCATTTATACTGTTTTTCTCCAACTAGAATGACACTTTTAACTAGCCCAAATAAGAGAATAAAATTAATATGTAAGGGGAAATTTATGATTAGTACCATTTATAGTTTAATTGTGACACTGTGGAAATAATAGTATTGTTTGACGTCATTATGGCTACAATGAGATTTCCATAAACAGAGTATGAGAACAGTTTAATCCTGTCATATCATTTTAGAGCCTCAAGGGTAAAGAACATGTTCATGTTACATTTATTTCCATGTAAGAAAAAATCTATAGTGAAATTATTTTTTAAAGTAAACACATTATTGGAGAGCACATGCATAATATACATGTTGGTCAGGTAGTGACCACTGTGGATGGAAGTGGGAAATTGTTTTAAAAGGCTGGTCTTTTATTCTTTCCAATTGTTTTTATTTTATTTTAAAGTCTGTCCTTAAATGAAATGCTTGCTAATGTTTTCACAATGTAAATACTAATCAATAATGATTTGCCATAAAGTAGAGATGATAGATATTTTTATTACAACTGTTTTTTTTTTTGCATTATAAAATGTCTGGTCATTTTTGCACTCTACAATTAGGTAGTAGTTCAAGAAATATTTTATGGAAGTTTGGTTACTTATGTAGTCCAGGTACATAGTTTATGTATGTTTTGTTTTTTTATCTACCTCTAATATACAACTAAAAATAGTCATGAAATTCTCAGGGACAACTTTTACACATTTTTATCCACTTTTTCTAACCTTTTTGTAACTTCCTAGTTTTGTCAAACAATATTTCTCTCGGGAATGTTAAAGATAACTTATTGCTGATGTCTAAGATCTTAGAGTTTAAGATATTACAGAGGGTTTTTTAATTAGTTCATTAAAAACAGATCTAACAGAAAACTTATAACAATCGTGTATATATTTTTTTAGACACTTTCTAAAAGTATGGATGAATTACATAGAGCCCAAAAAGCAAAGGAGGAAATTGGCAAACCTTCTGTCTTCTCTAAGATAATTAAAAAGGAGCTTCCAGCTGATATTCTTTTTGAAGACGATCAGGTAATCTGTATTGTTTTTATTAAAAAAGCTGTAAATAATGAAAAGTTATATTAATGAAGCTATGAGGTTTTGCCAGTGTAGTTTTTATCTCTATTTAAACCTTAGTTATTTTTACATGCATATTTCAACACAAAACAAAAGGTTGATTTATAGGATATATTTTAACATAAGAGTATCAAGTCATATGTTTAGTCTGTAAGACAATGGTTGAAGGCAAAGATCTCTTCAAATATCAAAGGAGCATGAAAGTCAATGCTCTTTTGCTGTAGAATTATCGCCAAAGACAGACTATTCTATAAATAGATATTCAGAAACATGTGTCATTTAACATTAATCTGTATCATCAGTGACAGTCAAAAGTGAGTACATATAACATTAGGATAATCTATGGCCACAAGCTGCTGGTGAATGACCAGTATAGAAGATAGTTGACAAATTTGCACAGTGCAAGAGATGTCATACTATGTCCAAATTTACTCTCTTTTTTTTTTTTTCTTTAGTCATGGTTTGATCTCCATCCATACGTGCAAAATACATTAGAAAAACTTATGAGTACAGAAACAAGTAGTCTAAAATTTCAGATGCAAACAGGAAAGTGTAGTACCAGTAGTGCTTAGAGTGTGGAATAAATGACTTGCAACTTTTGATATCTATTGAGTTTCATATCATCCTTTGGTTTTTGAAATTTACAAAACTTTTACACTTGGTGCAATTTAATTGTATGTTAATGCATTTTAATAACCTGTAGTTTTCTGTATTTCACCTATGTTTCATTTTCCTTCCTAGTTTCTCATGAAACTTTGAATTTCTTCTTATTCAAAATTTCTTAATTATAATTGTATACACAATTATATATCACAAACACACTATTATTTTTTTTTCTCTAGGCCTTTCGAAGGCAGTATTGTACTGCAGCTTTTACATAATTGATCACCACATATTATATATGTATATCATGTGGTTTTAATACAAACTTCCAAAACCACAGCCAAGGGAACGTGCTTGGAAAAATCAGCTAAGACAGACAGGATGGTTTTTATTATTGTTTATTGAAAAGTGATTAGTACATTTCCATTTGTAATTTATCATATCATTAAAAGGCTGGCTTGAGTAAGTGGATAACTGCTTCATGACTGTTTGCCCTATTATTTATTTACCACTAAAGAATACAATTACACAAATTATAAATTACAATGTAATACATTGTAAAAATCATAATTTTTACATCTTATTCAACATTAAAGAATACAGTTACACAACTATATAATAGAAACATAACACAATGTAAAAAAAAACACAATAAATTTACACTTTATTTAACACCAAATGAACCCAAGAGTTGTTGGCAGGTGCTGTCAGCCAATTGCCCTCCATTTGGTCAGTAGATCAAAATTAGGGATGATGATGGATATCCTTAGTAGCTCTGCCATAACTCAAACACAAAGAAACAAATATAATTTTCTCATGGCTCGGGCAAGCAAGTTTGATATTACTGAGATCCTTGAATCATGAAGCAACCACCCTTATCACCAGGCCCTACCAGCCTGAAGCTGAGTGAACTTGTATTTATCGAAACAGTAATAATGAGAAGTCATAATGATGATATTTCTACTACTTAGATAGTTGGAATAATCAACAACAGTAATAATTGGAAAACCTGGTTTTGATCATTTGAGTATTTTTTTTTTAGATTAATCATGATTTTGGTTGACCAATTGTGACACTTATCAATCTAATTGTTAATTATACATAATCAATATTATATTGATTATATAAGTTAATCACCCATCTCTATCTATGTGTATGTAAACAAGGAGATTATAAATTTGGTATATGGTAACTTGTTCTACATTCTAGTGTCAAAACTTGAGAAAATAGATTAATAATTTCAATATAACATCTGTAATCCAAGTTTATAATCATCTATATTTCTTAGTGTCTTTCAGCATTATAATTTCTATTAAATATGTATATATAAAATATCTACTTTTCTGTTTTTATATATATTATTGTTTCTTATGAAGTTTTTCTTTTTAGTGTATTGCGTTTCATGATATCAACCCTCAGGCTCCTAGTCATTTTTTAGTTGTTTCCAAGAAACCAATTCCAATGCTGGATGATGTTCAGGAAGAAGACACCAAGGTACTTGGTAAATGTAGTCCTGCATCATTCAAGAAAAATAATTTGCTCTAGATTTTATGTGTTTCAGTTTATTACATGCAAAATATTTGTCATTAAAATTTTTTTTAGTTTTCCATACTGAATAAAAATAATTGAAAAAAAAAACATTTCTGTGTTACTCCAATTAAAGAGAGAATTAAGATACTTTTTTGCCCCAAATATGCTTACCATAGTCATTTAGCTACTATTAGGTCATCAAGAAATTAATGTCGCTTTTTTTTTAGATGAAAAAAGCCAAAGAACTTAGTCAGGTTGTTAATACCCTAAGTAAAGGAATCACTTGCTTTGAAGCAAAAAATATGTCTATGTCCTCTTTAACACCTTCCATATTTGCATACGTTTTCCCATTAGGATGGGGTTGCAGCTAATGAAAAAGATGGTAATCTCATGGTGCTATATCTGGAACATATGGTGGGTGGGGGAGAACTTCCCAACCCAACTCCATAATCTTGTGTTGCGTCAAACGTATATTTCCAAACATACTTGCCTCCACTAACACTCTCCCTCCTTTCCTCCCCACTAAGAGTCAGTGCTAGTGACTGGAATGTGGTAAGTCTTGAAAAACTGATTTTATTGTCTGCATACAGTGCTTATATACAGTACCTGCATAGAGGGCATGTGAGGGCCATTGTAATATATTACAAATTAGATATTACCGAGGGCAGTCGAGTGGGATACATAAAGACTGGAGCAAGCGAACACAACATTAGATGGCAAAGATGAAGATCGAGAAATAGCTATTAGTGTCAGCAGAGGTAAGAATGTTTGAAAATACATTTTCAGTTTAGGAAAATGATAACATCTGCAATTTGATGGTTAAATTGCAACGTTTTTATGTATGCATCCTTCACACTAAACTCTTAGTGGTTTTTGTCAGTTAAAACTCCTGAAGAGCATTCACCCAAAGTTTAAATAATAAATAAAAAAAAAAAATGCAGCTTCTTTGGTATCAAGGTCATATTAATCTTTACTTTAAGTAGAGGTTTAACTTTTCCTCATTAGTAAACTTGGGTATTTTGGATGTTTGGTAGATTTGTGTATTTTTATATTTCAGACTTTAGGTCACATGTTGATAATTGCAAAGAATTTAGCAGCTCAAGAAAAATTGGTAAATGGTTACAGAATAGGTAAGTTTTTTTTATATGCTAATATGTGCAAATTAAATTGGTTTCATAGCATTGCAAATTCCATTGTTTAGTTCATGAGGTTCAAAAAAACAGGTTTTATTGTTCTATATATATTATTAGTTTTGAATTCTCTCTAAAGCTGCTTGTTGTTCCATTTTCATATTTCTGTAAGTAACTTTTAGGATTAGTAAAGCACCTTTGAATATCTTCTTTTTGTTCTTATTTTTAAATTTACATTGGCAAGTAATCAAACAAATATTTAAGTGGGTGAGACTTGTATACTTAAGCCTATGGTGCCCTAAGTAACTACACAACTTCCATCCATGGCCAGTTGTGGGTATGTGTGTGGATATATTTTACCCTGAAACCTACTTCTAAGTTTATTGTAATATAGAACTTGAGTCATTATTAAGCCAATGCTCAGCCTTTTTTCAGTAAAACAGATTTCACAAACACTTTTTTTCTTTTGTTTGGGAGAAATCCCTAATTTGAAACTTGACCTTGAGACACAAAAAAAATTCAAACTGTTTTCACTCGGATGTTATAAGGTAAAGAACTTAATTTATATTTTATGTCTTAACTGGTTCAGAACCCATTAAGATATTCAAAAATAGTGTAATTTATGTTGTCAGTCTAACATATGCCATTAATTTTAAATAAATGAAATGGAAATTGCTTAACTAGCAGATCATCTTGTATTCACTTAGCAGATTTTTGACTCGCAAGAACTGTATATTAATTCAATAAGCTGCCAGCAAAAACAATAGAAGATGCATTAATACAAACCCCCGATTTTGTGTATTTTGACTGGTTCTGAAAGTTTCATAATAGAAGTAGTGAATAAGTAAGGATATTTCTGTTTCCGATGTATTGACATAAAGCGTTTTATGTGTGATATAATTGTGTACTTCTAGGTTATTTGAGAATTCCATAATAAACATTCTAGAATCCTATATATGCATAGATATATTAGATGACTAAGAAATTCATGTAAAAACAATTAAGTATAGTTTCCAAATGTTACCAAAAAATAAATGACAGTTGTATAATGTTTGAATAGTAGTAGGATGACTTTTGCATTAAGAAACTATCAGACTTGGAAAAATACCACAATAAATCTATGATATATTAATTTCAGTGCATGAAAACATTTGTGGGTAAATCAAAATTAGTCTTGTTTTTGTTTTTTTCCCATTTTTATGAACCAGTGTCTCAAGTTATTTGATTTATATGTACACATCAAGAAAAGAATATGATTCTATAAAAGGTACAAAGGTGGGTCAAACATTGTCTGATCATGAGTTCATGAGGCAGCTTGTCCACTTGAGTAACAACTTTGAATTATTGTTTTTATTAGAAGAAGGTAGTTTCAACAAGTGGTCACAAAATGTGAATGGAAGGTTAGATCTGACCATTATCAACATGAGAGTCTTTATTTCTCACTAATTTTAAAGTTTATAATATTGTTTTATGTATGGGGCCAGGAGATACTGAAAAAATGTCATTGGTTACCCATTCTTTCTTGTTAAAAAGAGATATTGTATAATTTCCATTCTGTAGCTGTATCCTAGCTTTATCATTCCTGTTTGTGTGATGGTGGTAGTTATTTTTAACATGGTATTTGAGTGAAATCTTAAAGATAGGGATATATATTAGCATATTTCATCTTTTCTTGTTCAGATGATAAATTGAAGATAGTTGTTTTGTAATATATATATATATATATATATATGTGTGTGTGTGTATTTATGTAATTATTTTACCCAATAAAATACACTTATTCAAATACAGTGATCAACAATGGGGAACAAGGCTGCCAGTCAGTATACCATCTTCACATTCATGTAGTTGGTGGACGACAGATGGAATGGCCACCAGGTTAATCCGTTCAGTAACTTTTGTGTTTGCTTTACTCAGTCAGATCTCTGTAACTGTGAGATGAAGATAAATGCAAAGTTTTTTTCTGTTTCATTATATGCTACGTGTAGTAATTAATACATACTATAGAATAACTTGTGATCTTGTAGTTAAGTAGAATTTTGAGGTATTTATTAAAATGTACAACTTGATAGTTCAGCACTCAGTGATATAATGTATGCCAGCAGCTTTCAATATACTTTCATTTTTAGGCTTTTGGTAACAATTATAGTAAATTTATAATTTTGCTTTGTAACTCTTGTTAAAATATATTTTTGTTTACATTTTTATTTACTGTTATAAGTGACAGTATGTTAGCACAATTATTTGTAAATATTAATTAATCTCTGGTCACATAGTTACTGTTCAACAGCTGTGATTTACAGTGTTTACTCAGATGTCTGTCATATTTCTGTTATTTGGTACAGCTTTCTTTCACTTTTTAACTAAATATATATGCAAATTTTTGTTCATTTTTGATAAACATTTTGCTTAAATTATTTTCCTGATTGTGTCCAATATTTAGTTTATTTTGTGATTTTTATTCCTACATCTTATTCAACTTATACAGTAATTATTTCATTCTATAATTTTTCTTCACTAATTTAATAAAATGATTAACAGTGTATTGCATGCATGTAGTTTGTTTTCTGAAATTTGATTTGTGGATTAAATTTGTCAGTGCTCTACTAGTATTCATAATAAATGTTGATATGAAGTATATAGTACTTTTGTTTTTGCTAAGCCTTGTGTATATGTAAATTTAATATATAATCAAATCTCTAAGACACATTACTGTTTGTGCAGCAAGTTTTTACACTATTTGTTTTGCATAAACAATAAGTAGGCTTTATTATTGATAAATAAACAAAAAATTATGTATCTAGTTAATGAAATTAAATTCATTTATATTCATATGTATTATATATGTTAGTTTATTTATACTTGGCCATTATACATTGGCAGATGTTTTTTTTTCATGGTTTTTGTTCCAATAAATATATTCTGCACATAGAACTGTTAGAAGTTTTTATTCTGACACAAAAAAATCTTAAATAGTATTTAAAGAACTATTAACTTGGTTCCTGTAAACAATTTCACTCATCATTAAAACAACAATTTTAGTTTGAAGGATTGTAAATCTTGAAAATTTTTCTACTTTAAGTTGAAAATTTGGCTAATTTGCAATAAACCTAATTAAAATGAAAATATTTATATTTGGAATGAACCTGGACACAAAAACGCTCTTTTTATTACTGGGAAATACAATAATGAAGATATGTTATCAAAGAAAAATGTTCACTAAATGATTTTCTAAGAATTTTAAACATTATGTTCCTATCAACTTTTTGTGTGAAAATTTCTTAAAGGAGAGAGTCTCCTGTTTCCTTTCTACTTGGAAATGGTATTGAATGTCATAAAATATTTAGAAACATACATCACATATATTCTCTGTCATTATGTATTTGTAGGATGTTATAAGAATGTTGTATATAAAAACTAGCTTTCTAACCTCTCAAAAAATGATGAGTTTGAGTTTTGTATAAAATACCCAGGGGCCCAACCCTTCCTTCAGCAAGCTTTGTTCACCAAACTTCAACCTTCATCATAAAATAATAACAATCACACATTGAGAAAATAAGAACATTTTTCACTTACACTCTCAAAAACTCGGTAAAACTGGTGCAACTTAAAAATGACTTATAATATGAGCATCACACACACAAATTGACAACTGGTTTTTATATATATGTATTAGTCCAGTTATCTGGGGTAGTAATAAATAACTAGACAGTATGAGTCCAAGGCCTCACTAACATAATCTTATCACCCAAAACTTTGTCACACAATGTCCCAGCAGAAATTGTTGAAGTATCTCTGATTTATCTATTTCATGAAGTTGTCTTATTCAGTGTCTCTGTGGTATATTGGAAGATTTCACAAATCCACAAAGTTGGTGTGACCTATGTAGTTAAGATAGTTTTTGTCCCCTGTAAACGAATATAACCTGACTTAACCTATACAGTTAAGATAGTTTTCTACATTTTTAAGTTCGAAGCAAATGTATTTATATAGTTTTGTTGCTAAGCGACAGACAAACAGAGCATTACCAAAAGAACTTATACTTTATACTTGAGCACAAAACTAAAAAAATGTGTCCTATTACATTTAATATATCCTGTGTGTTCTTCACAAGTTCTGAAGTGTTGCATTGTACAGTTGTGTGCCATTTTCCAAATATGTTCACAATGAGAAATCAAAAGCCCAGCTTGGGATTAGTTCTTAATATACAGTAGGATACCCAAAGCTTAGTGTCAATGTGAATTTTTCTTCAACATCTGTTTTTCTTCCATTTAACTATTAAGGAGCTAATTGTTTACCACCTGATATATGTTATGTTACTCTAGTATTTACGAAGAAAAGTACCAGCTTTACACAAAAGTTTCTTTGTTGTACCATGGCCCATAGCCATCTTTGTCAACTTCGTTCTCCCAGCTGACATAACTCCTGTTTCAAGTTGACTTGCAATGATGCACATGTCTCTCATCTTTCTTAAATTGAAACTATTGAATTTAAAGGTATGTGTGGGGTATGTTTATAATTATTCTGTCTCCTTGTACCTAGTGAGTAATAGGTAGTTTGTTGAGTTGGATTTTTAATGGGAGGTTTGGGAGCTTTTAGGGCTGGATCCACACATTCACATGAAAATGGCATAAGGGATAATTCAAAACAAGTATCTTTGTTTAGAAGTTTTCACATAGAGTTACTAAAAATAAAGTGTGTAAAATTTGAGTAGTTGTTTCCGTGAATTCTCCCAAGTAAGTTAGTAGTTGGGAAATACTTAAGTATATGTTTTAGTCTATACTACAGCTATGAACATAGTAAAGCTACAGCTATCCAATAAAAATTAGTAAAAAATAACTAAATCAACCCAAAATTAGCCCCCCACTGGCAGTGTTATGCCTGCAAACTTCCAATTCTAGAAACCAGGTTTTGATACCTGTGGTGAGCTGAGTATAGATAGCCCTTTGTACTCAAATACAAACAAACAATCCAAAATTAAATTCCTTAAATGAATAAAACAACAGATTATGTTCAACACCAAATAACCTATTGACTCATAACATTATATATATATATATATATATATATATATATATATATATATATATATAGTAGTGTAGTCGTACGTACGTACTACGTCCGTCCGTACGTACGTACCTAGCTAGTAGTAGTTAATAAAACTTAAAACTAA